GATAGCAGGACCAATGTGGAGTGGGACACAGCCATGATGCTGGCAGCTGTGAGCCAACTCAAAGCCATAGCGATGAGTCTTCCACCTTGGCTAGCACCAGTGCTGGCAGCTTAAAGATTGGCAACAATGCCACCTTACCCTACTGCAGAACCCTGCTAGGGTAAAGCTGGGACAGGGGAGGGGGCTGGGCGGCTCTCCCAGCTCCTGAGCACAAGGTGAGAAAAGAGAAACGCTGTTACCCATCAATCCCTCCCACTGACACATTTGAACAGGAGAAGGAGAGAGACAAAGGCACAATTCTGAGTTCCATCTAGGCAGCACTGAGAGTGGACCTCTCCAGTCCAGGTGTACAATATGGCAAATGCCTCAGGTTTTCCTGTGAAGGAAAAAGCTCCAAACAAACACCACAAAGACCCCCAACCCAAACAGTAACGTTGGAATTTTCTGTGATTGATGGCTGAGAGAAGCAGCTGTGCAGTGCTGATTTTGTCTTCTCTGCACACTCATCATCCATACTTGTCTCTGGAGTCTCCAAAGCCCGGTGATCATTTCTTCCTGCTCCAGCGCCTGTGCTGAGTCCAAAGAGCCTTGGGGCAGCCAGGACTGGTAGCAGGAGAGCTGCTGAAAGGCACCGCCAGCCATGCAGCCTTCCCCTCCAAGGCTCCAGAGACACACGGGCAGAAAGCTGTGGCCAAAGCTGGATGGCTGCCGAGATCCATCCCCTCTTCACAGGGTGGCCTTGCAGGATAGCAAAATCCACATGGACATCCCATGTCATTCCAGCACTGACTTTCACCCCAAACATTCCCATTTTCTACAAGGAAAAATCTGCTTTTCTCTTCTGCTTGCATAGGGATGAATTCCCTTGGCTGATGTATTTGGCATAAAGCTTCTCCTCACAGGGAAACCCTGATGGGCAATGTGAGGCTCTTCTGCCCATCCAGAACCCATTTTGTCCCACTGGATGGTGGGAAGTGCAGTGCAAATGCACCACCCTTCCCTCCTCTGCCAGCAGCTGCTTTCACAGCCCAACGGCCTGGCACGGTGCAGATGAAGGCAGGTTGTAACTAAGTGTGGGCCGTTCTATCTGCCCAGGGAACAAACAATGTGAGCAGAGGAAATGACCTCAAGTTGTGCCACGGAGGCTTAGCTTGGATTTCGCCAGGAAATATTCCTTCAACAAAAAGGATGTCAAGCTTGGGAACAGGTTGCCTGGGGAAATGGCTGAGCCAGCACCCTCAGAAAGGTTCAAACGTCATGTGGAAATGGCATCTGGGGACCTGGCCGATTGGAGCAGTGGGCAGTGTGAAGTTTGCAGTTGCACTGTGTGATTGTGAGCGCCTTTTTCAACCACACTCAGATCCAGATTTAAGTGTAGCTCAACCAGTGAGGAGTCAAAGCTCAGACTCAATGATCCTCAAGGCTGCATTCCAACAGGGATATCTATCAGATTGCCAAGGAAGGGCAGATGAAAATAATTGCAAAAGAGACAACAATGGGAGTGCTTTGGAAAAGCTTCAGACAAGGGCAGCTCTAAGCAGGGCCACTCTGAGTGCCTGAGCCACGAGTCGGCTCAGGAGACAGAGGGTGTGGTTGGCTGGGTTGTGACATGCTGCGACACGTGTGACATCACGGGGCACGTGTCACAATGCCGGCAGCAAAGAAAGGCCCCAGCAGCTCACGCTGGCCTTGCATTGCTTTGGCAAGCGGTGAGTGCACACGTGGTGGCGACGCTGTGCTGGGAACAAGGGCTGGGGCAGAAACGCTGCACCTGGGGTGGCTTCTCCCTCTGCATGCGGGGCCAGCCCCGCCTAGGAGAACCTTGGGCAGGCCACAGGGCTGGAGCTGGAGCTGCTGGGGCAGTGAGACAGGCCTTGCTGCCTGCATGCTCTCTGTGTGGGGCCCTGTCCTTCCTGCGCCCACATCCCTGAGGATCCTCCCTCCAGCAAGCAGTAGTCGTGTCCATCCCCGCCCCACTCATTCCCTTCTCTCCCTCCTCCTGCAGACCATGGAGCCCATGGTATTCCTTTTCATGCTCTTGAAAAGCCTCATCCAGTACCCACAGCACGTGGCTGACGCTTTGGATGAGGAAACACGTCTGCGCATGGAAGCGCGTGCAAAGCATCTGGAATGGGAGAGGATTCATCTGGAGCAGGAGGTGGAACAGCTCACCCAGGAGCAGCTGAAGCAGGTGCAGCTCTTGCAGCTCTTAGCTGTTGCTGTGCTCCTGGGCCTTCTCTTGGTCCTCTGGTTGATTGGGTGGAAAAGCAGCCTGAGCAGAGAGGAGGATGAACAAGACAACCGTGGGGCAGATGAAGAGGAAGCGGGCAATGTTGTAGCGGCAAACGAAGAAGACAACGTTGGCAATGAAGATGTCAATGAGGCTGCAGTTGCAGAAAACAACAACGATGCTGCAAATGAAGTCCAAGAAGAAGAAGAGGATGATTTTGATGATTTCCTTGGAGAAGTTGCAATGGAGCACATCCAGTGGCCTGTACAGGACCTGCAGAGAGGCTGTGAGTGGATAACTGACCTCATGGATAATTATACCATTTTCTTTGGCCATGTTTTGGCCAATAGTTTCTACCCGGTCCTGCAACGAGCCATCGGGGTGGGCAGTGCCTTTGAAGGCTGGAGTCCCCGTGAGCAGGATGTCGTCTACAGCGTGCTCATCCCCATGACTCCTCCCCGAGGCCACAGCTTCCACCTGGAGCTGGAGAGTGAAGAGCAGAGGCACGTGAGGAACTTCCGTGTCCGCGTGCAGCTGGAGTGCACCTGCAGCAGGGAGCAGCAGGCTGAGGACATGCTGTGCTTCCTGCACCACCCCGAGGAGGAGCTGAGCAGCAATCAGGATCCCAGCCTCCTAGACACCCTGTGCACCGGCTCCTACCTGGACGTGCAGAAAACTGCCCGCTGGTTTTACCAGCTGGTGAGAGCAGTCTGGCCAGCTCTGCCTCAGTCACACAACTGGCATTTAAGGCTGATGCCCTCCACACGCTCCTGCCAATTCCAGGTGTCCTACGGGCAGGAAAGCTTCAGGATTGAGCTGTTCTTCGGCGTGCGGAGAGGTGACTCAGCCATCTTTGTGTGCAGCCAGCCTAGAGAGGCCTACACAGCAAGCACAACCTGGCCCGAGTCATACGCTGTGGCAGAGGTTGAGTTCTTCAAGCACATTGCCAGGCAGGCCCCCCCTGACAGCCTGCACCTCAAATGCCTGCAGTTCTTCACTCGTCTTTCACTGGGCTTCAGCTTTTCCACCTACACCATGAAGACCATTGTCATGCACCTGCTCAACATCACACCCGTCTCAGAGTGGCGCAGGAGAGATCTCGTCGTACGACTGCTGGATATCATCAACAGCCTGCAATTATGTCTGCGAGCAAAATGCCTCCACCACTTCATTGTGGGCAACCAGAGGCTTCCTCAGGACATCCATTTACCCGCAGATGTCCAGAGAGCTGAGCCATACAATCTCCTCCAGCACCTGGCCCAGCAGCCGGCTGCCCACGCCCATGCGCTCTATGAGTACCACATTCTCTACAAGTGGTTCAGAAGAATCCTTCTTGCTGAGGATTTACCGGATGAAGGGGAAGAGTTATGGCTCTGAGCACAGAGCTTGCTTGTGCTGCTCGCAGCTGGCAGCAGAGAACCACCTTGCAGTCCCCAGTTGGTGCTTTCAGGAGAAGAGGATGCCTGCAAAGCTTTGGCAAAGGTCCCACTGCCTCTCCTGCCGCCTCAGCAGGTGCAGGGCCACGGGCGGCTGTGTTCTACCTCCTTGCATCTTTTCATTTCCCAACAAAGGGCCCCGACCGCACTGAGCCCTGCTTGGCTAGGAACTCTCCCATTGCTGAAAAAGCACACAAAGAGAACACGTGCCGGACAAGCAGGGCCAACGTCTCCAAAGCCCACCTGCAACATGCAGCTTTTCCCGGCCTTTGAAAAGGGGTAAAATTTCAAGCATGACATAAGTGGCAATGTGGGACCAAGAAAGAGAAAAAACAACGGGGCAAGAAGGACCAAGAGGAAAAATCAGCACTGCTGGCCCAGGATCAGTCAATGGATGGAGCCTCTCCTTCTCCCTGCAATGGACACCTTCACAACAGCACTGGACCACCAGGATTGGAGTTGACCAGAAATTTTTTATGCAGAGGAATCTCGATTTTTATTTCACAGATATATATATATATAGTGTATTCCTATTATAAACTATAATTTTTATAAATTATATATGCTTGTATATTACCATAGAACAAAGCACTATTCTGATGGAAATTACATAAAATATACGAAATATGTAGTTATGGTGTGAGGATAACAAGTAACTTTAAAGGGTTGAATGTGTAATTACGTTTAAATTGTTAGAGTAGAACAAGTATTAAGTGTCACTATCTCTTGTGACACATATTGTTGCTCTTACTATATTTCTGTCTGGAAGGCTTTCCATAAAATAAATATATTTATAACATATATAATATACATAGCTTATATAGATGTTGTATAAATTATATTTGAATATAACTGTGTAATATGTATTATATACTGCATGTTTATAATATATTTCATATATTGTATCATATTTATATACATGTAAAGACATATGTAGTGTTGCTATGTGTTGGGGCCAATATTAATGCTCCAAAGTTAGGGCATTTCTGAGTGGCAAGCTGGGAAACTATTTGCTCCTGTTTCAATAAAATGCAATTTTGCAGAATCTGGAGTGTGCATGGTTTTATTGATCTCAGCCAGGCGCATAGTGGCGTTCAATGCCACACACTGTGAATCTGGGCTCATGAACAGATTCCTTGAAATCAAACGGAGAGTGCTGAATTGGCTCTAAACAGAAATTGAGCCGAGCTGCACCCAGCCCCTCTGATCACAGAATCCCAGAATGGTTTGGCTTGGAAGGGCCCTTAGAGGTTGTCTTGTTCCAGCCCTGCTGCCAAGGGCAGGGACACCTTGCGCCAGGCCACGTTGCTGCAAGGCCCATCCAAGCTGGCCTGGAACTCTGGCAGGGATGGGGCACCCACAGCTTCTGTGGGAGGCGTGGGCCAGGCCCAAGCAGCCTCCGAGGCCAGAATTCCTTGCCCATCTGCAGCCTAAGGCCGCCGTTCCTGTGGCACAGGGCACTGGCCCTGGCACTGTGCCTGCAGGCCCTTGGCAACAGCCCCTCTGCAGGTCTCTGCTGGCTCCCGGGCAGGGACTCAAAGGCTGCAGGAAGGTGCCCCTGGAGAAGGCCCTGGAGAGCGCTGGGGCCAGGAGTGCCGCCATGAGGGCAGCAAGCGGGGCCTGGCCTGTCCGTGCCTGCGGCAGGGCGCAGGGCGGGCGCTCAGGCCCTGCCAGCTGCAGCTGGGAGCTCTGCAGGGCGGCCGGCAGAGAGCCGTGGGCTCCCGCAGCTCTGCGGCCCTCACGGCTGAGGCAGCTGCCCGGGCACAGCCCGCTGGGGACACGCGGCCGGCCCGGGGCCACCCGCAGGGGGACCCTGCTCTGGGGCCAGCCCAGGCCGCAGCAGGGAGCAGCCCATGGGTACCCAGGCACAAGTCTCTGCCACTGGGGATAGCAGGGCAAGCAGGACCAGTAGGGACAGGGGGACACAGGATGTAAGTGACAGCCCAGCTGCCCTGGGACAGGCCCCACAGGCAGACAAGACACGGGGCAGGCAGGAGTCCCCATCCTCTCTGTGCCCTCCGCAACACAGGGTCATAGGGGACACAGGGGGAATGGGGACACAGCAGCCCCTCTCCTATGGGAATATCCCGCCTGCCCTGGGCCACTGATAGAATGCAGGGGCTGAGGCTCTGCAGGGAGAACCCAAGAATCAGCAGGTGGACAGTGCCTGATTTTATGTGATGGTGTCTCTAAGATTACTTCAACCCAGATCCTGCATGGAAACAGGCCTTTGCAGGAGAAAAACAGAGGAGCCTTTGCAACACTGGATCCCTCCTGGTGGATAGCTTTTCTTTATTACAGCTACAGCTGCCCCCTGCATCTTGGAGCTCATGAATGCTCTTTGACATGAGATTCTTGCACATTGCTTGGGTGTTTCATGACAGCAGGAATGGCCAATTAGTGCGGCACTTCTGCAACGCATCTGAAATTCTCAGGTGTTTTAACAATTGACATTATGTATAATTTTCAAAATAAAGGATTATAATCATTTCTCTTTGATACAATGTCATGGGGGCTTCTGCCTGCTTTGTGAAGGGAGATCCTGGGGCCCATTGCCTCCCAGAGGGGCTGCACCTGGTGGTGCCAGGGCTTTCCTTGCTGGGCCCACTCGCAGCCCCTGAGCTGGGCTGGGGACCAAGGGCGGGGCTGGCCCGGCTGTGATGCCTCTGGCACGGGTGACATCAGGGGCAGCGTGTCACAATGGGGGCCTCTAGAACAGGCCCCCGCAGGTAACGCTGGATGGAGGCGTTTGAAGGAAGATCGGGCCAAATGAATGATACCTATTCTTAAATAGTCTAGAAATATTTTCAATATTTTAAACATTTACTGTAAAATAACTAGATTTCACTGTTATTTCCTAATTTTCATAGTTTTAAGGCAGAATAATACTAGAGTAAAATATCGTTATAATGGTAATAATAAGTAATAGTTAAGCACCTGAATCTATTATTTACTTAAGAGATTAACTATTATTCTCCAAAATTAATAGGAATTATGCTAATTAATTACAATTACAATTGTAGTATGCCAAATCTTTATCTTAAACACTGAATTTTACATAATCTGCAGGAAAATATAATTATTTTTTACATTATTAATATCAATATCTAACCATACACAGATTGCAGTTAAGATAAGTTTGAAAATAATCACAATTTATTAATTTCAATGTTTAAAACATGTTATTGTGACTTGATAATGATGCTGACAGCCTGCCTGTCTTGAGAGAGTGTCATCTCTCTGGGAGCTGCATCAGTGTAAAGATGCAATAAAGGCAATGCCTGAACAAACGCTGTGTCTGTGAGTGTCCACCTTGGGCCCAGGTGTCACCTGTGGGGAATTCCTGACAGAGGGGCACCACAGCACCCCTTGGCCATGCAGAGGCTCCTTTCCTCCCCTCTAGCAGCTGTTCCTTTGCTGCTGTGATCCATCCTCTGCTGTGCGGGGTGCCAAATGCAAGAAAACCAGGAGTGCCCCCACTCAGACTGTCACTTGGGTTCCTGCAGAGCTCAGGAGCCACCATGGCTGTGTAGGGTGCGGAACGCTGCAGTAGGCCATGACAGCAGGGCCAGCAGGGACAGGGGGACACAGGACAGGAATGACAGCCCAGCTGCCCTGGGACAGGCCCCACAGGCAGACAGGACACAGGAGTCCCCATCCTCTCTGTGCCCTCCGCAACACAGGGACATAAGGGACACAGGGGGAATGGGGACACAGCAGCCTCTCTCCTATGGGAATATCCCAACTGTCCAGGGGCACTGACAGAATGATTGACTCTAACCACAATTTGTGGAGCTGCCCTGTGAGCAGCCAGCGCACAGAGCTGCGCTTGCTGCCCACCACAGCCCCACAAAGCCCAGGCAGAGGCTCAGGGCTCCTGCCAGGCCCTGCCCCTCTTCCCTCTGTCTCTTAACTGTGCCTGAATTAACTGTATCTGTATTAACTCTGTCTATTTTAACCCTTTTCCCTGCAGAGGCCTTGCATTTGATCGGGGATGGAGGCGTTTGAAGGAAGATCGGGCCAAATGAATGATACCTATTCTTAAATAGTCTAGAAATATTTTCAATATTTTAAACATTTACTGTAAAATAACTAGATTTAGCACTGTTTTCCTAATTTTCATAATTTTAAGGCAGAATAATACTCAAGTAAAATATCATTATAATGGTAATAATAAGTAATAGTTAGGTACCTAAATGTATTATTTACTTTATAGATTAACTGTTATTCAGCAAAATTAATAGGAATTAAGCTAATTAATTACAATAGAAGTATGATTAATCTTTATCTTAAATAGTGAATTTTACATAATCTGCATGAAAAAATAATTCTTTTTTACATTATTAATATTAATATATAACCATATACAGATTGCAGTTAGATAATTTTGACAATAATCACAATTTATTAATTTCAATGTTTAAAACATGTTATTGTGACTTGATAATGATGCTGACAGCCCGCCTGTCTTGGGAGGGTGTCATCCCTCTGAGAGCTGCATCAGTGTAAAGATGCAATAAAGGCAATGCCTGAACAAACGCTGTGTCTGTGAGTGTCCACCTTGGGCCCAGGTGTCACCTGTGGGGAATTCCTGACAGAGGGGCACCACAGCACCCCTTGGCCATGCAGAGGCTCCTTTCCTCCCCTCTAGCAGCTGTTCCTTTGCTGCTGTGATCCATCCTCTGCTGTACGGGGTGCCAAATGCAAGAAAACCAGGAGTGCCCCCACTCAGACTGTCACTTGGGTTCCTGCAGAGCTCAGGATCCACCATGGCTGTGTAGGGTGCGGAACGCTGCAGTAGGCCATGACAGCAGGGCCAGCAGGGACAGGGGGACACAGGACAGGAATGACAGCCCAGCTGCCCTGGGACAGGCCCCACAGGCAGACAGGACACAGGAGTCCCCATCCTCTCTGTGCCCTCCGCAACACAGGGACATAAGGGACACAGGGGGAATGGGGACACAGCAGCCTCTCTCCTATGGGAATATCCCAACTGTCCAGGGGCACTGACAGGATACAGGGCTGAGGCTCTGCAGGGAGAACCCAAGAATCAGCAGGTGGACAGTGCCTGATTTTATGTGATGGTGTCTCTCAGATTACTTCAACCCAGATCCTGCATGGAAACAGGCCTTTGCAGGAGAAAAACAGAGGAGCCTTTGCAACACTGGATCCCTCCTGGTGGATAGCTTTTCTTTATTACAGCTACAGCTGCCCCCTGCACCTTGGAGCACATGAATGCTCTTTGACATGAGATTCTTGCACATTGCTTGGGTGTTTCATGACAGCAGGAATGGCCAATTAGTGGAGCATTTGTGCAATGCAGCTGAAATTCTCAGGTGTTTTAGCAATTGATATTATGTATAATTTTCAAAATAAAGGGTTATAATCACTTCTCTTTGATACAATGTCGTGGGGGCTTCTGCCTGCTTTGTGAAGGGAGATCCTGGGGCCCATTGCCTCCCAGAGGGGCTGCACTTGGTGGTGCCAGGGCTTTCATTGCTGGGCCCACTCGCAGCCCCTGAGCTGGGCTGGGGACCAAGGGTGGGGCTGGCCCGGCTGTGATGCCTCTGGCACGGGTGACATCAGGGGCAGCGTGTCACAATGGGGGCCGCTAGAACAGGCCCCCGCAGGTAACGCTGGCCCAGCACAGCCTGGGCAAGCGGTGAGTGCACACGTGGCAGGGCCGGGCTGGGCCAGGCCCGGGGCACAAGCGCCGCACCCGGGCCTGCCTTGTGCCCCTGCATCCAGGGCCAGCCCCTCGGGCCACAGCCTTGGCCAGGGCACGGGGCTGCTGCTGCCCCGCTGGGACAGGCCCTGTTGCCTGCCAGCCCTCTGGGGCCCTCTGCTTCCTGCCCTCACAGCCCTGCGCCTCCGGGCCTCCCTTCAGCCCCCACAGTTCCCTTCTAGCCCCAGTCAAACCCTTGTCTCTCTCCTCCTGCAGACCATGGCGGACAGATCAGTCCTGGCTGTGATTCTGCTGCTCATCTTCCCATTCCCACTTGCCTTGGTGGACAGATTTTATGGGGATGTGCAGCACACTGCAGAGGAGCTGAAACCAGCTCCCCCAGAGCCACCTCAGCCTGGCTGGGGAGCCTGGCTCCTGGCGGCCTTGCAGCAGCTGCAGCAATTCTGGGAAAGTGCGCAGATGCTGTTCCTGCCTTTGGCCTGGTGGCTCAGGCGCAGAAGGGCGGCCATGAGGCAGAGAGCAGCGGCCCAGAGAGCTGCCGAGGAGGCCAGAAGGAGGAGGATGAGAATCGAGCGCAGAAGGTGGCTCCTTAAGAAGAGACAAAAAGAGATGGAGCAAATGCGCAGGGCCTTGAGACAACTGCAAAAGCAAATGGCCAGGCTGATTCAAATGAATAGGGAAACAAACAGCATGGTGAAGGTAGGCTGGGCAGGCTTTTGGAGGAGCACGGGCAGTGGCCTGTGTGAAGAAAAGCTTCCTGCTGGAGATGCTCTCTGGGCTGGCCAAGGCCAGCCGCACATCTTTGTGAGCAGCCAGCGCACAGAGCTGCGCTTGCTGCCCAGCACAGCCCTGCAAAGCCGGGCCAGAGGCTCAGGGCTCCTGCCAGGCCCTGCTGAGATTGATTCAAATTGTGTAATAGTTTAGAAAGATTTCAAATATTTTAACTAATTTATTTTAAAAAATATTTCAAGATTTTAATAGCATTCTTGTAGAATTATAAGACAGTTAAATATCAATATCTTAATAATGAGTATTAAGTAAGTAACAACACTTATTCTTCATATTATATAATTACTATCATTCATCAAAGTGTGTATGAATTATATTCATTCAACACAATTGAAGTACACTACATTTTTACATTAAGCCGTGAATTTTGCATAATCATCACTACTAAGAAAACTACTTTTTTAATATTAATATATAACAATATATGAGATAGTTGCTTAGATAAGATTGACTCTAACCACAATTTGTGGAGCTGCCCTGTGAGCAGCCAGCGCACAGAGCTGCGCTTGCTGCCCAGCACAGCCCCACAAAGCCGGGGCAGAGTCTCAGGGCTCCTGCCAGGCCCTGCCCCTCTTCCCTCTGTCTCTTAACTGTGCCTGAATTAACTGTATCTGTATTAACTCTGTCTATTTTAACCCTTTTCCCTGCAGAGGCCTTGCATTTGATCGGGGATGGAGGCGTTTGAAGGAAGATCGGGCCAAATGAATGATACCTATTCTTAAATAGTCTAGAAATATTTTCAATATTTTAAACATTTACTGTAAAATAACTAGATTTAGCACTGATTTCCTAATTTTCATAGTTTTAAGGCAGAATAATACTAGAGTAAAATATCATTATAATGGTAATAATAAGTAATAGTTAGGTACCTAAATGTATTATTTACTTTATAGATTAACTGTTATTCAGCAAAATTAATAGGAATTAAGCTAATTAATTACAATAGAAGTATGATTAATCTTTATCTTAAATAGTGAATTTTACATAATCTGCATGAAAAAATAATTCTTTTTTACATTATTAATATTAATATATAACCATATACAGATTGCAGTTAGATAATTTTGACAATAATCACAATTTATTAATTTCAATGTTTAAAACATGTTATTGTGACTTGATAATGATGCTGACAGCCCGCCTGTCTTGGGAGGGTGTCATCCCTCTGAGAGCTGCATCAGTGTAAAGATGCAATAAAGGCAATGCCTGAACAAACGCTGTGTCTGTGAGTGTCCACCTTGGGCCCAGGTGTCACCTGTGGGGAATTCCTGACAGAGGGGCACCACAGCACCCCTTGGCCATGCAGAGGCTCCTTTCCTCCCCTCTAGCAGCTGTTCCTTTGCTGCTGTGATCCATCCTCTGCTGTGCGGGGTGCCAAATGCAAGAAAACCAGGAGTGCCCCCACTCAGACTGTCACTTGGGTTCCTGCAGAGCTCAGGAGCCACCATGGCTGTGTAGGGTGTGGAACGCTGCAGTAGGCCATGCCAGCAGGGCCTGCAGGGACAGGGGGACACAGGAATGACAGCCCAGCTGCCCTGGGACAGGCCCCACAGGCAGACAGGACACGGGGCAGGCAGGAGTCCCCATCCTCTCTGTGCCCTCATCAACACAGGGACATAAGGGACAAAGGGGAAATAGGGACACAGCGGCCCCTCTCCTCTGGGAATATCCCACCTGCCCAGGGGCCCTGACAGGATGCAGGGGCTGAGGCTCTGCAAGGGGATGCCAAGGATGAGGAGGACAATGCCCAGGGAATATCAGCCCACACTCTGCATGCGAACTGCTCCAAGGAGGAGAAAACCAGAGGGGGCATTGCCACAGCAGATCCCTTCAGAAGGAAGGTGTTCTGCATTCCTGCACACGGGTGTTCCATGCAACATGGAGCACATGAATGCACTTTGACACCACATTCGTACCCTGCATGAGCGTTCAGGCACAAGAGCAGTGGCCATTCCTTAATTACACACAAGTGCAACTCTTGTGCAAAGCAACACAAATTGTCTCTCTCCCCCTGCAGACCATGGCAGACAGATCAGTCCTTGCTCTGCCTGCAGTGCTCATCTTCCACTTTCTGCGGTCCCCGGTGATCACTCCGCATGAGGATGCAGAGCTGAGCGAAGAGGACCTGGAGCAGGCTACCCCAGAGCCACCCGAGCCTGCCTGGGGACCCTGCTCTCGGCAGCCGTGCAGCAGGGGCCCTACTGGGCTGCTGCTGAACTGCTCTTCCTGCCTTTGTTCCTCTGGTTCAGGCGCAGAAGGGCGGCCATGAAGCAGAGAGCAGCGGCCCGGAGAGCTGAAGAAGAGGCCAGAAGGCACAGGATGGAAATCAAGCAGAGAAGGCTTCGGTTCAAGAGGAGATGCAAAGACTTGAAGGCAATGTGGGGGACCATGAAAATGGTAAAGAAGAAAATGGCCAGGCTGTTTTGAATGAACAGCAAGGTGAGCGGGATGCTCTTTGGGCTGGCCAAGGCCAGCCGCACGTCTTTGTGAGCAGCCGGCACACAGAGCTGCGCTTGCTGCCCAGAACAGCCCTGCAAAGCCGGGGCAAAGGCTCAGGGCTCCTGCCAGGCCCTGCTCCTCTTCCCTCTGTCTCTTAACTTCATCTGTTTTAACCCTTTTCCCTGCAGAAGCTTTGCATTTGCTCAGGGATTGTGGCTTTTGAAGGAAGACCAGGCCGGATGGATGGACATTGGTTTAACTTCATTATTAGTTTAGAAATTATTTCCATATTTTATTAATTTATCCAATACTCACTTTAGTGTCTAGTAATACATACGTACAATGTAGTAGTAATTAAAAAAAAAAATACTAATTCTGTTATGACAATTATACATTCTACTGCACAATAATTATCATTCATTGTAAGAACTACTGCAAATTATGTGAAGAAACCACATCTGATATATGTAATATTTATTCATCACCAAGTAATTTTTCATAATCTAGAAAACTTCATCATTGTATTTATTCATATACAAGGTATAAGGGTATAGAAAAAATTTATTAACACAAGGATGATTCTAATTGTGATGTGTTCTTAAATATATTTAAAATACAGGATCGATTTTTTTAAATGAAACTGCCTGCTCTCCCTTCTTCAGGAACTCTGTTTCCACTGGGAGCTGCAGTCAGTACAGCAGAGTTCCAGTAATGGCTGTGTTTCAAGAAACAGGCTGTGTCTGTGAGTGTCCAGAGTCATCTCCAAGGCCATCCAGTTCTACCCGTCTGTCATGGCGTGGGACACCTCTGGCTAGGCCACGTTGCTGCAAGGCCCATCCATCCTGAACAGAAACACTTGCAGGGACAGGGCAGGCACAGCTGCTCTGAGCAACCAGTGCCAGGGCCTCACGGCCCTCACAGCCAAGGCTTCCTTCCCCATGGCCCGCCTCAGCCTGCCCTGTGGCACTGGGAAGCCACTGGCCCTGGCGCTGTGCCTGCAGGCCCTTGGCAACAGCCCCTCTGCAGGTCTCTGCTGGCTCCCGGGCAGGGACTCAAAGGCCGCAGGAAGGTGCCCCTGGAGAAGGCCCTGGAGAGCGCTGGGGCCAGGAGTGCCGCCATGAGGGCAGCAAGCGGGGCCTGGCCTGTCCGTGCCTGCGGCAGGGCGCGGGGCGGGCGCTCAGGCCCTGCCAGCTGGAGCACATTAATGCACTCTGGCATGACATTCCTGTGCCTTGCTCAGCTCTTCTGCTACAACACCAGTGGTCAGCTTGTGCAACACTTTCACCGAAGAGCTACAATTCTCTGCCAGAACCAGCCCTCTGCTGGTTCTTGGTCAAGAGCAGCCTGGTGGGGTTCTGGCTACTCTTCCCTCTCCATGATGTCCGATAATGGGAAGGTTTCACAGAGGTCTTGGAGGGACTGGATCTGGGAAGTCTCAAGCAGGAAAAAGTCAGCCAGAGTAACTTAATCCACTCAGAGAAAAACCAGTGCCATTACAAAAGCACCTCTAGCACTCTCATACATGATATTATGTATCATATTCAACATTATTAGTTATATTCTTTTCCCTTCAAGAAAAGGTCTGAAGACTTCTGCCCGCTTTGTGAAGGGAGATCCTGGGGCCCATTCCCTCCCAGAGGGGCTGCACTTGGTGGTGCCAGGGCTTTCCTTGCTGGGCCCACTCGCAGCCCCTGAGCTGGGCTGGGGACCAAGGGCGGGGCTGGCCCGGCTGTGATGCCTCTGGCACGGGTGACATCAGGGGCAGCGTGTCACAATGGGGGCCGCTAGAACAGGCCCCCGCGGGTAACGCTGGCCCAGCACAGCCTGGGCAAGCGGTGAGTGCACACGTGGCAGGGCCGGGCTGGGCCAGGCCCGGGGCACAAGCGCCGGCTCACTCTCTGCATCTCCCACACAGGAGCGTGGGGCTGGTGCCGGTCACCCTCTGCTCACAGGAAACAAGGGGAGAAGACAAGAGGAAAGTGCCTCAAGTTCTGCCAGGGGAGCCTTAGATTGGGTATTAAGATAAAATGTCACCTCTGAAAGGGTTGTCAAGCACTGGCAACAGCTGACCATGGAATTGCTAGAATTGTCATTGCTTGAGGCACTGCAGCAATGTCTGGAAGTGGCACATGGAGTCATGGTTTCCAGATGGACTTAGCACAGTCATGCTCGTGCCCTCCGACTTGATAGCAGGACCAATGTGGAGTGGGACACAGCCATGATGCTGGCAGCTGTGAGCCAACTCAAAGCCATAGCGATGAGTCTTCCACCTTGGCTAGCACCAGTGCTGGCAGCTTAAAGATTGGCAACAATGCCACCTTACCCTACTGCAGAACCCTGCTAGGGTAAAGCTGGGACAGGGGAG